ATGGATCCGCCTATCAATGATTTAGGTAAGGATCTAAGAAAAGTACGCTTGTTGAGTGTTTCAGAGTGAAGTTGTCTACATGCCTGAAACTTATTTGTGGTTTACGCACCCAGATAAAAGGGGAATTTTTGAACTGTCAGACACTAAAAAGGAAGAAATATTTTTGAAGAAAGATGTTAGATTCAAGTTTCACGTCAAACTCTGGTGATCAGATCATTAACAAAGACAGACAACATCACAGCCTAGTACATAAGCCAAGGTAAGCTCATCCATTTGACAACCAAGAACATCTCATAGGAGAAAAAGATGAAAAACATAAAAAAGACTGGAATTCAGTTGATAACTCTGAGGTGCTCTTCAGTAATGGGAAATCAAACCTCAAATCTGTGATAATCATCATTTAGCTTTTATTGGAAATAAGTTGACTGAGCTTTAATGAACAACTTCAATTTAAAAATAAATAAATAATAAATACAAATGAATAAAGGTTGTTTAAAAGGTTGTTGAAGCCAGAAATACTCCTGGAAAATTCATGGTAACACAATTACTTTATATCCATCTATATTAATTTAAATGACTGAATTTGATTTACATATGTCTCTTCATTAAATCTGCAGAGGCAGATTTTTACATTGGAGAAAATACAGAAGCATCATTTTCATGATATTTTCAGAGGCAAGATTTAAGAGAGCCTACGCAACAGAAAAATATATTAATTCAGAATAGCAAGAGAGATTTTCCACAACACATTCCAGTAAACTTAGTACTGGAATGAGTGAAATACTTGAAGAAAGAGAACAGAAACTGAAAACTGTATTTATCATATTGTATCATAACCTCGAAGTTAAACAAGAGTCATTTTCTAATACAGTTAGAACACAGTACACTCTCAAAGGGAAGACCAACTTCAAAATAATGTGTAAAGTGAAATCCTAGTGCTTGACTATCTTTCATTGCAGAATATATTGTGTACTGGGACAGGCATATAGCTACAGTTTTTTTAATGTAATATATTGCCTGTAAACTGCGTTAACTGAACATAAGATATATGTGTATTCATTCATCCTCATGCTCTCTTTACATACACATGCACAGAGAATACATACATACACAGACATATATATATGTAAAGACATACTATATATCTCTCTATAAACACTATATAAACACTCACACATATATGTAAACATTCTTAGAGGATGTGCAGTTCTTGGAAAGTCCCGCTTAAAGCACATGTAGTTGAAGAAAATGAAGACAAAATGTATGTACTGGTAAGGAATATGCTTGCCAGTAATCTGTGTGGTAAATTTAGTTTAATAATTACAGACTCCAACCACTGTAAAAAAAACACTGGTATATATATAGAATTGACAGTGCATGCACTGCCAAAAAAGATCGAAGGTGTGTTTAAAAACAGTGCTTCTTCAAAAGATATATAAATATAAACTTTAAACAAAATTTATTTTAGAAATAGATGATTAAGACATAAAAGAAACAGTGCTTGATAATTCAATATGAAATCAAAAATATATGCTCAAAAAGTCTTGTTAAAAAGATTTTACAAATAATACTTAACATCAGGCTATGCCATAAATATTCACACTATGATAAAAGAGGAAATCACTAAAAATCTGTAACAACCAACAATAACAACAACAAAACCAAACTGCTTTACAGTTTACGTTAAAAAAATAATTTTGTTTACATCACAAACTGTTTCATTTTTGACAGTACCCTACTGCCATTTAGCAGTATTCAGTGAGATTCAGAAGGATATAGAGATATCCTCCAAAGTCCAATGTACTTTCTGATCTGACAGGCAGCTTTCATACAAACTGTAGATTGTGTGCCATAGTTTTTCTTCAAAGATTCTCGTTTGACATTAGATTGTTTGAGATCAAGTGGCACTGAGCTTTGGTAGACACATATTCATATGAAATCCAGGCATCGACAGTATGACACGGGATGCAAAATGGCAAATATGAGAGCCATCTTTGGCTGCTGGCACTGCAGATCTAAAAGATGTGAAGCAACTAATGCACACTGTAAAACTACCAACAAATAAAGAACCGTTCTTTATGCTAAGCCAGGCACTGCACTGTAAATAACCAAAAACAAACTCTAGAACTTCTATAGGCACAGATTTTTCTGCATTGGTGACAAGGACAATGATGTGCACCAAACAAAAGCATAAATCTCTAAATAAGTTTACTGAGATCATAGTGAGTAGTAATAATTATGGTCTAAATCACAAGAAAATAACATAGAAAGTGTGACTGCTATTTCCAAGAAAAATATAATGAATTTTCGATTTTGAAAGCAGCATTTTGACAAGTCACTAATTCTTGCTCTTCATTTTCCCTCACTTCCATGCAGTCAGAAAAATCATTTACTTAGGTGAAAGCACAAGAAAGAAATTATATTAAACACTGAAGTAGGCCTGGCTTTGATTCACGATTCTAATATTCATTAAAAAATCTAAATATTGAATTTTTTTACTGATCTCCACTTATCCATTACCTTTTTTAAAAGTGTAGAAATTAATATTCAGCACATATACATTTGGTAAGTACACATCAGGCTTTCATGAGACTTTCATGAATGCGCTTAATCATCAGAAGGAAATAAGCTCTCTGACAAGTCTTAGGCCTATGAAACCACTCTTTAAAAAGTGATATTTAGATATAAGAAAACAAAAATGGCAACAGAAAAACATATGAAACCGAATTACTTAAGAGGTTGCTGGTTTTTCCAATAGTGCATTTGAAGAGTTACCATATTTGGCTGACCTAGCTCACAAGAGAAGTAGAAGAGGGATTATCGATTTAAACCAATAATCCAACCAATTGATGAGCCTCTATTTCATACGTGTGTCTCTTCTAAGGTTAAAAATCAGACTAGATTCTTCTAGAATAGAATGATATGACCAATGAAATACCAAGAAAATGACAGATCTTCAGCTTGGCTAAAAGAAAAAGAAACAGAAGTCTCCTGAGAAATATTTTTCTCACAAACAATCAACATTCATCTGAAGAAACTGCAAGCACAAGTTATCAAAGGTTCTTTTCATACTCATTGTAAAAAGTAGGCACTTGTAGAGAGCATGCAGCCCTCTAGCACGTAGATGAACCAAGTACAGTACCTCAGCTCAGTATTCATCAATTAAAAGAAAAAAAAATCTCAAGATAAGCATTCCTATTATTTGGTGCTTTTCCTCCTAACCAAACATGAATTTTACATGTACAAGGTTTCTCATCAAGGAAATCAAACCTAACTGCTGTAAGAACAGCAATCCAAAGATTCAATGAAAAAACAAAACATAGTAAATAAGTCTGTGAAATCCTACTATCTTGAACAACTCTACTAGGCCAAAAGTTAATTACTCTTAACAAATATCCTTGCATGCTTCCCATCACCCAACTATGAGGCACCTAAGCAAACAACTGTAATAGCAATAGGCAGTACCCATCTTTAGTTATGCTAAACAATACTTCTTGAATAACCTTTTTACTATGTCTGGAATGGAGTATAAAACCAAAGCAACTGGCTAAGTTGTGGCACTAAATCAATAAATATCGTTACTATATGTCTAACCACTGAATGTGTAGTTTAATTTGAATCATAAATGCTGCAAGGGTATGGTATGGTAATAGGAACAGCGAAACTGTCTTACAGATACATAAACATCTTTCCAAGAAAATCATCTCAGTATAGGAAGGAATTTTTTCCTGTAACAGTCATATCTATAATTATGCAATACAATATGCTAAATTACAATACGTACTTCATTATTAATAGAATTTATTTTACAGATCAAATAGCCAAATACACAATTTTGAAAGAGCCAGATAGCAACGTGGAGAATACTATAGGCAACAGTCATGGTAGACATTCTGCAGTCTAAGAACTGAGGCAACGTGAATATTAAGTACAAGCCTATAAATATCTTTACATCAAACATACAGGAAGGTGTAAGAATGTCATGTTGTAGTCTAATTGATCTCAATCATTAATAACTTTCTCTTTAAGTATATATACGGTATACATCCGAGTTAGAAGTGTTATTCATTTTATTCTAGCAAACTAATATTACATGTCTTCACATAAGTGCAGAAAACAGGGTTCTTTATACTCCTTTGCTTCCTAAGAGATTTTCTATTGCATGTGAAATGCTAATATTATAGATGATACATATTAAGCGTTATTCACTAAAATATACAGAAACTTACAACCAGGCTGCAAACCAAGCAATGATACTCAAACTGCATTTGTTACATGAGTCATACTAAACTAAAAAAACATTACATAAACAAATTGAAATTAAAATAAGAAAGGTAATAATAATAATAATTTGGAGAGAAACAAAAAACAGAAGGCCATATTTTCCCCTATGTGCTAGGTTACAGTGCAAAAAAGTCCAGGTTGCAACAAATATTTATCATTTCCTATTTTATCACAGTGAAAAGCAAGACACTGGATCTGTGATTTAAAAAAATAATTAAAAAAGAAAGTATTTCAAAAGATTAGGTGTATAGCACCTGTTATGTGTTATCTAGATTTCAGCAAGCAAAATGCAAATTAGATTCTGTTTTAGGAAGTGAATATTTTTGAGTTATTTAAAACGTGATCATTTATTACAAAATTTTGTGGGTAAGAAAGTATTCATTGTTCACAACTAATATTGTGCCTATGAAACGAGAAAGCAGTGATTTGATCAATTCCATTTATGAACCACAGCAGCAATATTATCATTAAAAATATTATGGAATAGATATAAATAACACTTGATTCTTAATACATGTAACAATGCTATATTGTGACAACAATTTTTTTTCTTTTTAATGCAGGGAGTATAAAGAACTTTACATTCTCCTTTCAGTGTATGAATAAAATTTATTGCTCCCTTTTATTATACTTATATAATCAAAACTTCTACTTGTTCAACTAAAATAAATAAGGAAAAAATCTGGGACAAGAAGTTGGTTACAAGCAAAATTAGAAAACAATAGATTTATCATAATCGCCAACTGCGATGAATGATGGGTCACATTACTTTTTTCTTAGCAAAACTACATTATAGAACACTGTAGCACAACGTACTAAAATTTCGTTGTCTTTTCATTTTAAAAAATTCTTGCCCTTGATACCTTTCAGTAGGGCAGCTTGAACAGTTCATCATCACTTCCAAACCCCTCTGGAGATCAGACGATAAATTTCTTCGGCAATCAGAGAGAGGACAAAGGGCTTTCTCGTGCTATTTCCTTGTTTTCATGTTTGCTGGCTTAACATCATTGTGTACACGTACGACTTCAGTATATAACATCAGATGCGATGGCGTTCAGAGCTGGCAAACAGAGAAACAGCATGAGAAAAGCCCTTTCCTACATAATTTTCCCCATATATTGTAAAGTTTGCTTCCAACTTTCAACCATGTCAACCACATAGTTTGAGAAGTACCAAACTACTGCATTTCTATGTAACCAGCCACCTTTGGTGAGTGTGTGTGCTTGCAGGGCCCTATATACACAGAAAGATCTGCACACATCTACATACACAACAGAAGTGTTAAAATGGGAGACACAAAAATGGCTTCTATGTATGTTATTCTAGGTTTTTAATATTTTTTTCTTTATCAGCTCAAAACTCCAAGTGCTGTATCAAACATACAGCTATCAGAAAACTACCACACTACCTAAAATACATTCTACAGGGCTTTAGTAGACTTCATTCAAGAGCATAGTTCCTAAGAGCATAAAATATTTTGAAGTTATTTTGCTTCCTGAAGTTGTACTTATTATCAACAGAGTTAGAGTCTTGAAAATTCACTGAAATAAAGCCATTCAGATCAATTATTTCAAGGAAAAAAACCCACTATCAATAGCAGTCACCAAGACACAAGCCACTCACTGGTCAGGAAATTGCTATCAACTGAAGATCATTGAGTGTAATACCTTCTGTGAGAAAATAGGAAAAGAAATAAGTGTGAAAATTAAATTAAAGATAAATCAGATTTCATTGTTGACAAATGGTTGGTAGCCATTAGTTTCTATTTAAAAAAAAAAAAAAGAAAAGAAAAAAAAAAAGGAATTGAGAAGAAAGGAGTAAACATTTCAGCTTCACCACGCATGAAGGTGAAACATGCTTCATGTTTGGGGAAAATCATATGTATTTATACTGCTACTATCCCAAAACAAGCTGCTATTGGATAGAGAATTGAGAATCATTGTAGCCTGAAAAACAATCACCAAATGGTAATGCTGGAACATTGCCTACCAACTTCAGGACAAACTCAGTCAAATAGGTTTTACTGGGATAAATAACAAAAAACAAGAACAAAAACAAAACAAAAACAAAACAAACAAACAAACAAAAAAAAACAACCTTTGTTTTCTCCAAAGCACTTTTTACTGCTCAAGAAAAATGGAGATGCTATACTGAGGGACATGCTTTAGTGGGGAAATACTGTGGTAGGTAGACAGGTGGACTGGGTTATTTCAGAGGTCTTTTCCAACCTTGGTAATTTGGTGATTTTATGATTCTACTTAAAAGCCACATTTAAAATCGTTCTCGTTTTTTTCCTAAAAGACAAGTGAATTTATTTTTTGTTTTTTTATTTTTTTAACTTGTGCTTGGTATTTGTTTTCTACCATGAAGTGCAGAGTATCAATTCCAGACTTCCTTCCCCATGTTTTTTCAGTAAAGAACACCTCTATGAAATAAAAATTGACTTTTCCTTCCACAAAGAATTCCATAGAGGAAAAAAATTTCCTTGACCGGTTTTGCTTTAGTAGTACTACATATCTAATTAACTGCTCACTAACATAAGAGTCTGCAAATTTCACTTATCCTTCAGTAACATCTTTTTCTCCAGATACAAATTTCAGTTCTTACTGAAATGTTCATACACAGAATCATACCATAATTACCAGCTAAATTACCAGCTAGAAAATTAAGAGAAAATAACAAGAATAGTCAGAGTTGTAGTAATCACTTCTGAGACAGCTTTTGAGAAGGGTTATACCAACAGCTATTTGTCTGACATTTAGTTTCTTGAGTGTAATTTACTCTGTATTTGTCAATGCAAAACACAGCGTTACCTATACACCCTTTCACACATCAGAAGCCTATTGATAATTACAGGATACTGGATTAAACTCACTACTCTCACTTATTACCCCAAATTACCTAAATCATGCATCTAAAGATCTGCATATCACATGAGTTTTCAGAGCTTTTTGTTTTAGGAAAGTGCAATATTTTTCTAAGCACACTGCTCTCATACTGAGTGAAAAACAGTAATGGCATTTCACATTTCAAATCAGAAACAGAAAACCATATGTATCGTAACTGTAAGCCTGCGTAAGCAGTTGGTAGTAAGAAAGTGGCCCCCAAAAAGGCAACGCACCATAAATAAGGTCTACTTTCTAATATAAAATTAATGTCTATCTCTGATTACTTTCCAACAAACAAGTTCACAGTTCAGATCACAGTGTTATTTGAAATCTCCATTCATACGCACAGGTACATTCACACATGATAGAATTCTTGCAAATAAATGAATTAATGAAGCTTTACAGTAGTAAATATGAGAAAATCAATCTTCATACCTGTTCATTCCCACCATTTTTTTCTGAAGATGACATAGTGTACTAACAGTGGAAATGTTAACATATGGATGGGAGTCCACTGCAAAGCAGGCATAACCACCACCAAGCACAGAAACAGAGCATGATTATACATTTGTCATTCAAACAGTATGTTTATATATATATTCACACAGTTCAGAGAATGACTACATATTCCAGCTGTATCAGCTGAAGGAGTGAACTGAAACTAAACCAAGTCCTGCCATTGCTGCTTTCATGCAGTCATACTTTTTCACTAACAAAAGGCCAGAAAAAGTGATAATAAAAAAGTTAATGGTACCCTTCCTTAGTCAACAGCTGTTTATTTTAGGATATTTATACTGTTCCTATAGTGTGCAGTACGGTTTTTTCAAATGAACGAAAGTCACAAGCAGTATTAACTGAAAGAAAGAGACAAGGAGGAGGAGATGTGAAGTTTTAATCAATCTTTGCAGCAGTAGTTTCTCAGAACCCAGCTGCCAGAGGTAACATTGCATATATATGTATATATGTATATATGTATACTATGTATACTATCACTATGAATGTTCTGATTAAATATGTTGATCCCTCGAGAGGCATTCAAATTGTCTGAATGTTGTTTGAAACAACTGAGCAAAGATTCCAGATTTTAAATATTGTGTTACATATTATATGAATAATGGATTGAAAAAAACAAAAACATCCTTTTCAACTTTCCAATGCAAATGAAAAAAAGATTTTTGAGAGTATATATTTCATACAGCCTTCTCTCACTAAGGTGAATGTCAAAAGCAATTGAGTTTTTACAAAGCTTGTGGACAGACAAGCTGTAAATGTGTATATGTTTCTCTCCAAAAAAATACATTCTTCTGAAGACAATGAAAGTTAGCTTGATTTTATATACCTTACTTTAAAAAAAACAAAACAAAACAAACCCAAACATATCATGTACAAGAAGCCCCTTCACAGTTTAGCATGTGATAGAACTTCCTTAATACATTTACCTACAGCATCCCAAAGGAAAGCACGCTATTCTGAAGGTACCAATTCACTCTCACTAGTATCAGCACCTAACATGTGACTTCAAAATAATATTAATATCTCTTTCTATTACCCTTTCCCACACAGAAGAACTAGAGAAGCTTACTGTCTCTCCTTGTTTGCATTATATTAGCACCACACGTTTCCCTCTTCAGCTTCCCGCAGTCAACAATCCAATGTGTCCTCAGTTGCTTCTGATTCCTTTCCCACAAAACTCTGAGCTTTGCTACTCCAGTATTTATTAGCCCACATAGCCCACATAGACATTCTTTGGGCTTTTTAGTAGAAAATCCTTTACGTTCTGGATGTCATGGGGAAATTGTTTACAGAGAGAGTGGTGAGGTGCTGGAACAGCTGCCCAGACAGGTTGTGGATGCCCCATCCCTGAAGGTTTTCAAGGCCAGATTGGATGGGGCCCTGGGCAGCCTGGTCTGGTATTAAACGAGGAGGTTGGTGGCCCTGCATGTGGCAGGGGGGTTGGAGATTCACGATCCTTGAGGTTCCTTCCAACCCTGTGATTCTCTTTTGCAATTTTTTTGAGTACAACTGTTATAATGACTTTGTCATTTTGTACATCACTTCTACAAATTTAACATAAGATTTTTTTTTTTAATTTAAAGACAATTTATATCATTCTGATTTAAAGCTTCAAAAAATCCCGTAACTTTTTATCTTTAAATCAGTAATTCAAATGTCTTGCATAGACAAAGCTAAGAGCTATTGAGATGTGAGGCTTGTTAATATCAATATCTAATTGAAAACAAAAATAAATAAACTCACAGCAAGCATAATCTTTAGTTTTCTCCTTCAGAGATATTTTGGCTTGTAATAGGGAAGTATTACAGTAATGATTGCAGTAGAATAATGTTTTTCACACTATTTTCTTATTTTCATTTCTTATTTTCATTTCTCAAACTAGCACATCTGCCTTTTTAACTTTAATTATCCCACTTCTCCTTGCTGTCCTGCATTTTCTGAAAATTCAGAGCGCACAACATGAAGGTATCACTAACCACAAAGATCCCACCTGTCTATAAGGTTGGTGAATTGAGGGCAACATGACATCTGAAAGACTGAGTAGAGTTTCTTTTGTTTCATCTCTTTACTGGCTAAGAGTGACAACTCTAAGGCAGCCTGTCCTGAGTGTACCTTCACAGGAGATAAAACCACACAGACTATAATTATACAAAAAAAACAGGTTATGAGTAAGACTCGTTTTTACAAAAAATACTGAGATTAAAGAAATATAGTTTGTTTTGCTTATCATAAAACACAATGCTGTAATTACAATACAACACAAAGGATTAAACTCAAATGGCTTCTCTTGCCCAACTTATGTAAATAAATGCATTAATATTTTATCACTCATTTAAATAAAACAAAATTAAGTAATGGTTAAAGGCAAATGTTGTTTTCCAACTAGTGGAAAGGGCCAGTGTCAGAGAGGAGTTGCAATTTCTCCAATAATGTGGTCACTTTTCTGTATGAAAAAATTAATCTTTTACGGGCCATACTAATGCAATTTCTGGTACAGTTATATCAGGTAATGAGTATATGAAAATAAACAAACAAAAAAACAGTTCTATTCTTCTCTCAACGACAGGAAAACCCTGTGAATTACTTTTTAGGTATAGTTAAAAGATTTTTTCCCAAAAGACTTCTGTAGAAGATAATTGCTTTCCATTCTACTTTAAATGTCCCTTCTGATGGAAGAACTAAGTTTATAAAAATCTGGAGTGTCATGAGCTTACCTTCTTTTTTAGTAGAATTAGTGCGTTACAAAGTCTGCTTTTGAGCAGACAGTGAAAGAATCTTTTTGGCTTGGAGGAGGTATACTGGAGTCCCTGAACTCAACTGAAAAATCACTTAGATCAGGCCTACAGAGCACTTAGATCAGGCCTACTGAGATGCTGAAAACACCACCACCCACCTCACCATAAGGAAAAATATAACAGATGAACAAACTAGCAAGACACTTTTCTAATGCCCAATTTAAATTAACACATTTAAATACCTTTGATACAAAATATTCAAATCCGGAAAAGTACACATTTTCTACTGCTGTCATAAAAATAAGAAATTCTATTATTTTTTCCTCAACTTAACTGTTAGTGGAACTCAAAACTCCATTTTGTAATACACAGCTACATGGGTTATCACAGAAATCTGTGCTGTTAAGGGGGAAAAAATTAAGTAGAACAAGCAGGCCATCATGCAGTTTTCATGTACATTTTGTTATCAATGTTGCTCACAAAACAAAGCTCACAGAAAATTTAAAACCTCAACTGAACAAAAAGTCTAACAGACTAAATCTTGCTGAGGATTTGTTCCCAAAAAATAATACTAAAATGTAACATCAATGATATAATAAGCTCTTCTGAAATATTTAACAATTGATTCTTTTAAAATTTGACTAGAAAACTGTTTTCACTGAAAACACTGTGATATTCTTAAATAAAAGAGACAAGTAGACAAAATTTATTACTTACAAAACCTTCAAAAATATATATAGAAATTATATTTGATTTTCGGTTACTTGCAGCCTTTCTGTAGTGTCCTGCAGATTCTTATCTTATTTTTAATTTAAAGCTAAGAAGTCTTTAGACATTATGCTGTACTGAATTTTTGAGAAGTTAGTATCTGGTTTACCAAGCATAGGAGCAAAAATGTGAGAACAATTATACCAATGCTTCTTATTTTCCTACAGCTTTGCCTACTCACAGTGCCATTCTACTCAAGTAGTCTGCTACTTTGGAAAATGGCACTGAATCTCTCCGATGAAAATCCTTGCCTGCTTTTAGTGACTTTGAAGTAAAGCTATGCCCAAATGATGGCTGCAATTCCAGACACCATTAATATTAAGAACCGCTTATGAGGTCCTGTAAAGCTTTATTGTTTTCCACCTGGCCTAGATTGCTTCAACTCTTGAGCACACAATACTACAGAGGACAGTACCATAAACCCTCTTTGTTTCACACAGCTGCACAGCGTACAGAGGTAATGCAGGAAGTGCCATACTGCCATCTGCAGTCCAGAATACCCACCAGTGTAATAATTCACAGCTCGATTTCCTTGCAGCATTTTAATTTTTTTCTTAACACTGAAGAATCTCAAATTGTTTACCTTTTTTTTATGCTTCTATCAAACATGACTTTTCGTAACTTTTAATCCTTGTGGAAAAATTTATTTTGCAGTGCTTAGAATTAGAGCTAAATTAATGGAAAAGAAAGAGGCGAAGGAGAAAGAGAGAACCTTAAAATTTCCATTACCTGTCTGGTGTGAATGGGGCCTGGGGTCTTGAAGCCTCCTTGACAGCTGCATTCAGAAACACTGTAAGGATCCGAGCTGCTTGATGAGCACTTGGAGAGTGAATCACAGCCCACCACAAAGGTGTTATCCAGAGGCAGTTCCTGAATGACATGGTGCTTCTTGGGGGGTACAGGAGTCTCAGGTTTAATTTGAAAGGTTGGCTGTGGAGAAGCAGACTTGTAGTGCTTTGCTAAATCTGGGCTATCAGGCTTAAATGTGGTTGGTGTAGTGGCCCAGTTATATTTTCCCATAGTCTGTTCCTCTAGTTCTACAGGAATGTCTAAAGTGCCATTTATGTGCTCATGGCCAGGATCATCAGGCTTAGATTCTTCAATAGTCACAAAATTGAGGAGAAGACTTTTTGGAGAGCGTTTCTTCTTCTTCTTCTTCTTCTTGATCTGCCTATTCTCTTGGTTTGGGGAAACCCACTCACCACTCTGCTTATTTTTCTGGACAACTTTGTGCCTGGGAGTCTGGCGGCATCGTACTAATGCAGTAACAAAAATTACCAGAATAACTGTCATTGTGCCTGCAATAATCGCAATTATGATCTTGACATAATCATTGGTTTGTGGGGTTATCTCACCATCCCCAATGTTCTGGCCAACTGGAGTTTCCATATTCCTGCGCACTAGCTCTTGTATGTAGGAACTATTGGTGACCGTCTCATTCACAAACAAATGCACAAGAGCTATAGTATAAAGAGACTCTGGCTGACCCAGGTCATTGACTTTTATCACCAGTCTGTGCAAGCCATGATCTGATGTGATTACCTTCTCTTTCAATGTAATATTGCCTGTTAACTGGTCAATTGCAAACAAGCCCCTTGAATTCCCTCCTATAATGCTGTAACGGAGCTCTGCATTCATTCCTGTGTCATTATCAACTGCAAAGACTTTAGTAACAACAGAACCTGGACTGGATGATGTTGGAATCAACTCGTATGAATAATTTGATGAAGGAATTACAAAAACAGGCCTGTTGTCATTTACATCAACAACATTGATCGTCACTTTGGCCGTTGAGGAACGCTGCAGTCTTCCTCCATCCACCGCTTTCACCTGAAAAGTGTATGACCCCTGCTGTTCTCTATCAAAAGTAATATTAGGTCTTATTACACCAGTAAGTGGATCGATAATGAAATTATCTCGACCATTTAATATAGACAGAGTGACTGCAGCATTCTCTCCAGAATCAGCATCTGTTACTGTGATAAGCCCTACTGTGCCATACATGGGTAAGTTTTCTGGAACATAGAAATTATATTCATTGTGTGTGAAAGCAGGGCTGTTATCATTCTGGTCCAGGACTGACACTGTCACAGTAGCATTGGTCTGCAAGGGTGGCATCCCATTATCCTTAGCCAGTACAGTGAAGGAGTACCTGTCTTGTTTTTCTCTATCCAGCTTTCTCACTGCTGTCAGAATGCCTGTGCGGCGGTCAAGATTGAAAATAGGGGGTGCATCAGAACCTAGAATATAGCTGATCTCAGCATTGCGCCCACTGTCGGCATCTGTAGCACTTATCTTGGTTAGCTGAGTACCAGGAGCATTGTTTTCAGGGATGGAAAGACCTATGATAGGCTGTGTGAAAACTGGGGCATTGTCATTTTCATCTTTAATTTTGATCAAGAGCATTGCAGATTGGTTTAAGGGAGGTTTACCTGAATCTGAAGCTACTATTTTAATAGCATATTCCCGTGTGGATTCATAATCTAGAAATGTAGCTGTCTCCAGAAGAAACTGATTATCAAACACTGGCTTTAGTCTAAAAGGGACATCATGATCTGTAAAACAAGTAACTTTTCCATTCAGATCAGCATCCTTGTCCATTACTGTTATCAATGCAATTTTTGTATTAAGTGGAGCTTTCTCAGACAAGAGCACTGTCCCATTCACTGGATTGATGATGTACCTTGTGTCAATTGATGGGACATTGTCATTAATATCTGTGACATTAACAGTCACTGTTGCTCTCGATGGAGTCGAACTGCCATCACTTGCCAAAACAGTTAGTTTGTGTACTGGAGATTCTTCCCTGTCTAGTGGCTCTCTTATGGTGATGAGACCAGTGGCATTATCAATGGCAAACAGCTTTTTGGCCAAGCTGGAGATCTGATTGCTGAAATAGAAGTGGATTTGTGCATTTGAGCCCAGGTCTGCATCAGTGGCATGGAGCTGAGAAACAGAGGTGCCCACTGGAGCATTTTCTGGAATACTAACTTCAACGTCATTCTCTTTAAAGACTGGACGATTATCATTCACATCAGTCACTGTGACTTGCAGGATTGCAGTGCTAGATCTTGGAGGACTTCCACCATCTTCAACTTTAATTTTCATCACATAGGTATCTTTCTGCTCTCTATCCAGGATCTGCTGGACAATCAGTTGAGGCCACTTATCTCCCTCAGGTGTCTCAATTATATCAAGACCAAATACATTCTGACCCTACAAGACACAGAAAGAAGATACTTTAGCATAGTAGTGCATTTAAGCAGAGAATTATCTCAATGTTCTGAAATTATCACAAAATATATAAGCATTATACAGGAATTAACACTTTTTATATTTACTCCTCGTTTGCAATATTTAATTTTGCTCTAAGCCACCCAGGGACCTTAAAAAAAGCTTCAGAACATACATGGAAATGAACTTATACTTCAGAATAACAGGTTATGAGGGTTTTTTTTTGTTTTTTTTTGGGGGGGGCAGGGGTACACATTGTGATTTGTTTGCTGGTTTCTTGGTGCTGCGTTTGCTCTTTAAACCAACTGCTCTCCTCCTAAAGAAAAGAGAAAATACTTGGACAGATGTGATTTGCTTTCTATACTGTACCAGTGAGTGTGGAGAAGAGCAATGTAGCCAAAGTTCAAAGTGTCCAAACGTAAGGTAATATGCATGCACTAAAGGACTTAAACAAATCTTCAATTTGAAGGAAAACAAGAAAGTTAAAGGGACTGCCTCATGGAACAACTCTGGACATGATCTGAAGCCATCATAATTTAAAAAAACAAAAATAAATCGTTTACTATACAGCCATAACAGTTTATTAGAAATACATAAAAAACACCTGAAAATTATTCCATTATTCCTCATGATTTGCTTTATATTTATCTTCTTTTTTCACTTGGATTGTTTTGTTTTGTTTTTTTTTCATTAAAAAAAAAAATAATCCCAGAACTGTGACATTCACTTTGAAAATAATTACTTCTTTTCACAGGGATTGTTGAACACATAACACTCCTGTAATGGAAAAGAAATACTATATATATTTGACAAACATGGCTTCCTTCAGAAGCCTTGCGTTGAAAAGAGTATGCTAAAATAAATACAATAAAACAAAACAAATTCTGTGTAAGAATGGACTGTTTTGTTTAAGTGTTTTGCCAGTCAGAATTTGACATAAACAAACATTTCTTTCATGGAAAAGAACTATCCATCCCCATATCAAACATAACTGAGCAACTTGCACAGTATTTGTGACATTATATTGCAACCAGGGGCAGTCTAAAGTGAAGTGGAGTACATTCTGAAACAATAAATAAGAACACAGCTTTTACTTATTTAGTAGAAGACACGAAAATATTAGTTTTAAAAGAAATGTTTTCTCAAATAGCAATTCTACATTTATCTCTCTATTGAGAGAAAGTGTGGGTTTCCTATTCATCTTCAATCAGCCTAGCAGTTAGTTGTAATAAATTGCATAACTACTAAGAAATAATGAATTATATATGTTTTAATATAGAATTCCAGAAAAAAAAAAAAAAATGTAACAAGCTGGTGGAGGGGGGCGGACATATCAGCTATCTTTTACTGCTTTATTTGTACACAAATTGACAGATGGGCAGTAATTATTCTATCATTGTATCTCACAACTACAACAAAAAATTCTCATAGACTTTCAATAGGTTCAATTATACAAATGAATACACATCTCTGCATTTCTTCAACTATCAAGTCAAAAGCAATTCTTCATTATACCATAAAATTAATAGATTTGATTCTCCATAACTACCATAAACTAATGGAGAAACAGAAAAGAATGCAAAGAACAATTCCAGGTCAATTATTACCATTTGAGTAATTTTTATGAAAAAAAAAAAAAAAAAGAGAAAGAAAAAAAAAAGGTTACTTAAGAAAATTTCTTGCTGTTCATTAGAGGATCATGCATCTTTTTAAACTACTAAAATAAAGGGATCTTTTTTTAATTTTTTTTTTTTCCTAACTTAATTCACATTGGGATAGAGTTAAATACAGCCATACGCCACATTTTATCAAATAAATTTTCTGAGAGAGTGCTCCCATTCCAAACATTCCCAAAATGATGACACATTCAAGTAGTGTATTTTGAAGATTACAAATATATAATTCTCTCCCTCGTGAGAAAAGAAACTAAGAGTTAAAAAGAGAAACAGGAAAAAAAACCTTCAGTGCAAATTTTTTCTGTTGAAGCAAATGGATCTATCATCACCAAAACCTCAGTGAAATCAAAATTTCCTACAATAAGATTGGTTTTGGACTGAACCTCAATCATCTCATTATCCCAGTGATCTGAAGGTTTCACCCACGCTAGAGTACTGCTATAAATCTTTAGAAGTGGTATAATAGGTAATTAACACTTATGTAGTACCTTTCACCATTAAATTAATTTTAGAAATAACCTGTTAGTTTTTTTTTCCATGGCTGTGTCAGAGAGTGAAAAATAAAACGCTGAATTTTCAATCTAAAAAGACAGTTTAAATGATGTAATCTAACTACTTCAAGCAGAACAAGGTTTCAGAGCCAACATCAACTTTAAGAAGCTCCGAGTTCTGATCACAATATTATTTACCAGTGGTTTAAGCAACTTGTAACCTTATTGGATTTTCATAACATCCTTTTCAGTTGATTCATGCCTAAGGTAATATTTGAAATGATGAAACTGGTATACTTGCTGAACACTCCTTGCCATATATTTACCTGATCATTTGTAATTGATCCAAATGTCCTTTTCGGAGCTGTTTTGGGCTGTCATGTAAAATAAAAAATTAGAGAGTTTTAAAACAATTGTAACATGTAGGTAAGTTAATAAATACATAATCAATTAAACATAGATATCTAATGTGATAACCTAGAAAAGTCAAAGTATTACGAACAGGACTGCATGTAGCAAGATGTACATAGTACATAGTCTACACCTAACTTGCCTCTAGACATGCACAAGGCACTATTACACTCTCTCATCACAATATGTGATTGAATTCATTAGTTGTTGCCTACATTTGCTTTGTAATCACTGTTTTTTGCTTGTTTGTTTTTGCTCTGAATGTTCAAATCCACAGTAAAAAAAAAACTCGGAAGTTATACACCAATCTAAACTAAAATCTGTGTAGTCATAAACCTAACATGCTTCACCCATACACAGAAGATAAGGACACGATGTATTACCAACATCTACATAATAATTCACTATTTTTCAGCTTCCAATAACAAAAGTGGCTCTACAAAAGCTGGTCTGAAAGTGACAGACACTTCTACCAAATTACTAATCATTTCATTTCAACTAAACAAAAACAAAATTCAAAGCCCTCTTCTTTTAGAAATACTCCTTCCAAAAGAAGGAAAGTTAACAGCTGCCAGTAAGGCAATTAGCTAAGTAAGCCTGCCTCTTAACCTTCTCCATAACAATTTTTGAGACATTCACATGCATCCTATTAGACAGGAAGCTGATACAAAACCTGAAGGACAGTTAAAGGGATATCATATGTATGTCTGAGATATGCTATAAATTCCCTGTCCTCCAATATGCACTTTGTACTTCAAGTAAACACTATATTTATATCTCTAGATATAAAAACAAGGAAAAAACAGGAGTTGTTAGGCATTAATTAATATATTTAGAAAGATAATTTTTATGTTCACATTACATGTGTGTGAGAATTACAGATTTGCTCCAAAAATCTAAGAACTAAGCGAAAGAAATGACTGTATTTTAGCCATGTAATTCCCTAACACATCACTGTGTTTTTGGACGTAACAAGTAACAGTTCTGAACCAGCTCCTAAATCACAACCTCATCTTGTTTGACAGCCAAACAAGACACCTTAGGCTCATAATCCCGCATTTTAGAGCTCTCAGATGAATGCTGACTGGGTGTTGGAGCAGTGTGAATCCGTAATGCCCTCCTATTCACTACCTGCACTATAACCATATCAGTACTCTCAGGCAGAAGGGGATTCAAACTGACAGTCACCTGTATACAGGAAAATAGAAACAACTGAGGTATTTCTGAAAATTACCCTAAAGCAGAGATTGCCCAGGATCCTCAGCTTCTAGTACTTTTAGTTCAAATTTATCATGATGGACATTTATAGATTTGGCTCATGACAAGTGGAAAAAATAAAATTAAATAGAAAAAAAAAAACTTTGATAGGACTTGTTAAACAAGTAAGCAACTAAACAAGTACTAAATGTAAGTTGAGGTTCATTGAATTATTTTGTTCTCTGTTATTTTCAAGATAATTTCATTTGAAAAGGTGCCTGATTTCTATAAACAGGTGGTATCTTCATTGCACCAAATCCATAGCCGTGCTTTTAGCAGAAAGTTATTTAGCATGAGTAACTTATTTGATCGGAGGCCCATCTAAACTGAAAGTTTGGCTACAAGTGAAACCACTGTATCCTCCTCTTATGTTTATGTTTGAGGACAAAATGTTGATAAAATTTTTCATTTGAATGTCATGATAGACCTCTCCTCAGGTATCCAAAAATAAAAAAGAAAATAAATGAACAAAATCCGATGTCCTCCAGATTAATATCAGAAAGCCATTCTTTCACATGGACACATTTTTCCCAACACTAACACACAGCTTTTTGGGCTTGTCGGTCTGGAACAAATACTGGTGAACTGTAGATGACCGTAAGGCCTTCTCAGGGCCTTCACTCCTTGGAAAGTTTTCCAAAACTCAAAAGAGGAAGTTTATGTGGGAGGTGTAACAACCACTTCCTGCTTTTTAAAGACACGAAGCTGTGCTTTTCAAACAATGAAACTCATCCTTTTTACATTATTCTGAGAAAACAGTGGAGCTAGCAAATAGAACTGTAAAAATATATGACGAAACACAAGTGCAAGATGCCCCTTCTCTACATACTGGAAGGTAATAAATCACACTGCAATTTCAGATTAATAAATCAGAGACAGCTGCTCAGAAGTAGTAACAGAGTACTGAAAGTAGTTCCACAGAGACTAAATTCTAATACTCATTAAATAGAAATCTTTTGATTATGTTCATCAGGGAATGCTGGGGATAAACCAAAAATGTATTTTTTGGTGCTGGATTTCATCAGAAAGCCAATTTGTCTTCTTCCTCCTCCAGTATTACTGATTCCCATTTGTGTGACTCAGTAAAACAGCAGCAAAAGAAAAAAATGAAAATACTGTGTTACAGTATGGTAGCAATACCATTTTGAGACCCACCTCTGAAACCCTGTAATACTTGTGTGCACTGAAAATTTCACATTATAAGCCACCATGACTTTTGACTACGAGTTATATTCCTAAAAATGCCTTCTCTGCAAGTTGTTTGGAATAAAAAAAATCTTTCAAATGTGTCTGATACACACATTTACAAGTATTCATATTCAAGATGGTACTACAGATGGAAATTATTATTCTATTTATTTCCTACCTTCAATGCAGTTCAATAAAACTGCACAGAAAGAGAAATAATTTATTATATTACAGCAATACAAAGACTTCTATCAACTGCGTGTATGAACATGTAAGCAAAGTCAAAGATACTGAAAGAAGACAAAACTCTCTAAAAAGACAGAATAACATCTAGGATTGACTCAATTATTTCACAGAAATGTGAAGGACCACTCACTACAACAAAGTCATTTTCAGTTGTTGTAAGGATTAGATTAGTATCTCAAAATCTTAAGGTCACACAATAAAACTAGTTGCTGGATATGTCATGCATTCTACCTACAGATTTTTTATTCTACTTCCACCCTCAATTAACTTTACTGTTACTGTAAGAAGAGGCACACATGGATATATACAAAAACCCCACTGTAAACTGGAAAATTAAGTGAAATCAGTTTTGAAATTCAGTATTATGGCTTTTAACAAATCAGCAAAACCTAGACTAATTTACCAAAAGCAAGAATGATAGCTGGAATGCAGAGCTTCCATGATGGTTAAGCAGCATTAAAGTTATTCCTTATTATGCTCTTAAGCACGATCTGATTAGTTTTAACAGCTGCCCAGCAGGAAAAGCCAACCAATCATTCCACAGCAATATACATATTAACATACTTCTTTGCATTTAGTTTTCACTCATTTCAGGGGCAGGTACACACTGCACTACAGTTAGAGCTGGCACCTTTGGCTTTGAAAGTGATACCAAATAGTCAAAATGAAAACAATGTCAGAAAATCCTGATAATCACAATATATCTTAATACCTTAAAACCTTTTCTGATAAATAAACTTATTCCACTAATACATAACAGGCAGCAAATTGGTTTTGAGGTTCCATGGGAAACGGGATGGAGAGGAAAACTGAAAATACTGATTTATTTGTAGTTTAGAATGTGCTACAACAAATAGTATTTAAAGATGCATAATGGAAATGAGGATAATATTATATAGCTAGGGTTAAAATGAAGTGGAAAACCTCAAAGAGAGTCATATAATATTCCATTCTTAAAAACATAGAACATCTTGACTCAAAAAAAAGAAAAAAGAAAAGAAAAGAAAGACAATATGCTTGATAAGGCAGAGAGAAAAAAAATTACAATAATTTGACTTTGGAACATCAGCAATAACCATGGCAATAATACACATCACATTAATAGAGACAGCAATTATAGCACAGTGTGATAAAAATGTATTTCAACACTGACAGCTGATGATTCAGAATTTTTTCCTTTCACCAATGTTTCTTTTTTGTTTCCTTAAAATTGTCTGAAATGCTCTTTGCTACATGTCCCAGCATCAAAAGCTCTACAGGACTTCAGTGTTCAGACCCATTATATTTCAGGGCTAGGGAATATAAATTACTTTGCAATAAACCTTTCTTTCGGGAATAAAAATAACCATACTAATGCAGTCAAGTGCCACAATCTACAGTTGACAGTGGATTTAAAAGTATTCTTTGATATTTATAAGTTTATAATTTTGGACTTAGCATTTTTCTTCCCTGTGTTTCCTCCTGAAAAGAAGAAAAACATTCATTCTGTGTATTTAGAGTAACAACTACAAGAATTATTTAATTCTCTATCACTATCAAAGATCTGAAAGCTAAAACTAAAAATCAAGAACACTATAATTGTATAAGCTTCTTTAATATTTGAATTATCTAATTAATGACATCTAAATCTAGGAGAAACTGTAATTCCCTCTACCATATTCAAAACATATCTTATAAACCGGAAATCTTTATCACCCCAAAAACACAGCTTATGGAAAAATGATTTGGGGCAAAAGAAAAAACTCACAGGTGTAGAGAAGACATCTAGCCTTGAAGTAACTCAGAATTTTTAATAATAGATTTGGAACATTACTAGGATTCATATGAACCCCACTGGAAAAATAATTCAAGCTTTCTCAAGACAGATATCCAAATTTTGAGGAAAATTTTTATTGCTGCACCCACAATAAATAAAAGGAGCAGAAAATAATATTCACAATGTTATTCTGAAACTAAAATTAGAATGGATTGAGAACTTGCAGATTCCTTGCAGCAATACAAGCGTGATTAGTCACTTCCCATCAAAATTTGCGAGAACAATTTTTAACTCGGTCAAAAAACAATGGTATTCAAGTGAAATTGTTCCTGATGGAGACAGCTGTTGCTTGCTTTAGTAATAAGGTTCTTATTTAGCAACAATGAGTTTAGTCACAAACATCTGAAGTATGAAAAATACAAAAAAAAAAAAAAAACAACCACTGCTGGATACACTGGTGAAGAGTAACACATCAAACAGAAAATCAAAGTTAGTATCACCATCTCAATCTAGAAC